AATGCACTTTCGTTGATAAAAAAGGAAATTTATTTTAGCATCCAAACCGCCTACGCAGTGCTTCAATCCTGTTACGTCTGTCAACAATGGCGTGATCAAGTATAGCAATGTAAGATGGTAAAATATTGGATGATCTAGCCCGATTTAATTTTTTCAGGACCAACACTCTGGTCCCTGGCCTGAAGGCGCAACGGCATCGCTCATGTGCAATGCTGGATATTTACCAAAAGGTGCATTAGCCAAAAAATTAAATGTTTCTCTTGACATAGATTTTAGGTCCCACAATCAGCACATGCTCCGGCAACGGCCAATTCTTACCAGAAGCACTTGGTCCTTGTGTTTCGACATTGCAAGGCGATGCTCCTGAGCTTCCTTGTCCGGATCTTAATGTCGTAGGAGGGACCGTAACATACAGTAATGGTGGATCACTTCCACATATAAGCGGTACAAGAGCGACATTATTCTGTAACCTCGGCTACGCTCTGTCGGGTTCGCCTACAGCAACTTGTCAGGAAGGCAAATGGTCCCCTTCTCCGGGTAGGTCCCTATGGATGACGGAGTTGCTGGCGCAGGCACGGTTCCAGCGTTAGCTAGCACGTGTCAGAACGGGTTTATTGACCAATACGCCGCGCTAAACGTGGTCCGACATGATGCTAAAGCACGCTGGCACGGCGCTGGATCGGCGTCGGCACAGCGTCACACCCGTACAACTCTGGACGCAGTCTAAGATGCGACACGGCACGACAGCCTCAAATACATATTACATTTTTAGGTTTGGGAAGCTGTTTAATGAGCGCACTACAAGCTCTACCTGTCACGCCAGTGTTGGTACAACATGGCGGCATCCCTGCACCCGGAGAATTTTGCCCAACACCTGTTGCATCACCGTTTGGAGAGGTTTTCATCCATAGACTCTGATAAAAGTAAATAAATGATTTTACCACAGATCACATTTTCCAAAAGTTCTAATGCGAGCGGATTTCCGCCAGGGACAACCGCGGCTCTGCGTTGCTCCATGGGCAGACACATCACGGGACCTTCGTTCGCCACGTGCCATCGAGGCGTATTCCGGCCACCCTTAGGAAAATGTACTGATGATAGGGAGAATGGGCTTCCCGGAGTATGCCTTCCTTTAGTTCCGCCAGCCAACGGCAGGGTAAGTCATTACCTCCCGGATTTTGTTTGTCAGTAGGCCAAAATTTTTGCTCCAGATAACTTACATCCAATCTGGAAAACTCGATAACTTCGAAGTGGGAACAACAGCGCTGCTCTACTGTCTAGAGTCATATGCAGTTACGGGACAAGCAACAGCTGTTTGTACCAAAGACGGTTGGCAGCCTTCAAGTGGTTTAGGAGAATGTGACCCTGTAACGAGAACATTTTGACTGTAGCAATATCTCTGCTCATTCTGATTGCTAGCCTGTTTGTCTTTCAGTCACTGCATTCGATTCGAGATGCTTGTAAATAATGTGTTTCTTTATAGCTTGATTATGCGCCACCTTTAAAGTACCATTACTTGTAATAAAAATTATACATTCCAGTTTACATGACGCCTACACTACGTCGTCACCGTTTTATGAGTGTATAATCCTGCATGGGAAGGAATCCGCAAATTTCGACCCCGGAGCTTCTTTTGCGCTACTTTTCGCAGGGATTCATCGGGCCCTTCCATCGATTTATTGATTTGTTAACGTCTTCCTACAGAAATGAAAGCTCATCATGTTCTAACCAAGCATTCTCCAACGACCATGTAAAGAGTGCGATGAGCTTCAATTTAGTCTCAGGATCCCGAAGATGCGGTGAACTGAAGCGGAGATCTCTCAAGGTAAGTCATCCATACGATAGAGGGAGAGGGTGTCGCTTCTCCCCCTAGTGAAGAACATTGGCCCGGGTTGGACCGGGAAAGCCAGCTAGTATAGTAAGCCTATAAAATGGAAATTTTGTGAATACATACGTTCATTCCCTGCCGAAAACACCTCCGAACCTCTCATACCGCGCCATTCGTTTGATCTGACTCACAATGTTTCAACCCAGATTAGGCGGGGATGAGATTGGCAGGCATCCTTGCAAGGTTCGCGCAGCTTCGCAGCTACACTAATCGTATCATTATTTGTGAGGTGGTACATCGTCTACACGATGTATTTTAAT